AAGGAAGATGGGGCAATCTACTTCCATAGTGATACTGCCTTGGAAACCCAAGCAGGGGTCGCTATGAGTTGGGTCTGACTCGACGGCAAACAACAACAACAACAATCAATACTTACATTAAACTCTATAGCCATGTTATCAATAGTTCTTTAACTTGTTCAAGACCACACTGCAGGTGCTCTTCATCTGTCCCACCCTGTCCAACACTGACATGTTTTAATTTTTTCTATTATAATCATATGGTGTTTCTTCTCCTATAAATAGCTTTTGTTTTTGCATAAAGCTTTTCCTGCCATCACATGAATTCCTTAAAGGGTATTATTCTTTGGGGTCTAATTATGAGATGTGGGAGTATTAATGTTTTCAAGGCTTTAAAATTATTCTAGATTTACACAGCCAGAAGCCCCGGTGGCAAAATGCCTAAGGCATTTGACTGCTAACCAGAAGGCTGACGGTTCAAACCCACCAGCCACTCCTTGGAAGGAAGGTTGGGCAATCTACTTCTGTAGAGATACCACCTCGGAAACCCAGGAGGGGTCGCTATGAGTTGGATCTGACTCGATGGCAGTGAATTGGTTTGTTTTTGGTATATAAAATACATACATACTTTTGAATATAAATAGGATTATACCATAATAATATTCCATTCTTGGTTTTAGATCATCATTTTTAATTATATATTTCTTGCTTTTAAAAAATTCTGATAATAGAGAAATCTAGCATTTGGCTGGGTCCCCTTTCTTTAGCTTTGTTGGGACGATGTCTTCCTTTTATGATGTTTGTCTCCCAGTGGGTGACACCATCGTGGCTGGGTGCTGTCCAGCTTTGCCTGGCTCAGTTCCCAGGTGGGGCGGGTTCTCTACTCGTGGGCCCCTCAGTGGAGCAGCTGGCAGATGACGCTCCCCGTGTGTGGGTGGCAGAGAGGCTGCCTCCATTCCTGTTCAGCTTGTGTTGCCTCTGAGGAAGCAGAAGGTCTGGGAAGAGGCACTCTTTCTCTGTGCAGTGGGCAGGACTTCCTTTCTCCAGCAGGCCACTGAGAAAAGAGGCTTTAAAGGAGAACACTCAGGTGACATCTTCCCAGGACCCACTTCTTGATTTCTATGTATCTATGAAGGTAGCTGGTGATACCCAGCCCATCGCAGGACACAAGGACCACCTTTAATATGTCACATTGTGTGTAGGTGACCTCATGTGCATTGGGAGTTTGTTCCACTATTTACTCTGGGAATCGAGGAGGAAAGAGACCACACTCCAGGGAGGTAGTGTGGGCTCAGCACCTTCCCAGAAGGAAGCTTCACCATCCATCTGGACTGTAACTAACAGGGATGCTGCTTCTTTCCAGAGGATGGCCTGGATGATTACTTGTCCACCTGAGTGTCCCCAGAACCTGTCGCAGTCCTGGGCATCTGGTGACATTGGAGTGCAATGATTTCTGTGGTCAGTCCTCCCCCTGTGGTGCCCTGAAGGCATTGCTGGGCAAGCTTGCCTCATGTTTTCCCTCACAGACCGAGGGTCGGACAGACAGGGGTCTTCAGGAGCTGTGATACACCTGGTAGATGTGGCAGATGTGGTACTACACAGTGTGAAATGGGAAGCAGGTTGGGGAACGTCATCTCCCTCCTCCCAAGGCCTTTGGGCCCCGAACTTAACCAAGAGAGGTGGAGCCTGGGACTGGACACAGGAAGAGGCGAGTGTCTAGAAATCTTCCTCCAACTCAAGGTCCACTTGAAGGTCCAGGGGCCCAGCCTCCTAACTTCTTACCGTCAACTGATAGGCCCCAGGGAGGGAGCTGGGAACGGACCAGATGGCGTGAGATACCTGAGGTTCACCAGAGCCCAGGCTGGGTGCCAGGGACGCTTGGGCTATTTTGTGCCTGAGTCAGGGAGGAGCCCTGGGCCCCTGGGCCCAGAAGTAGAGAAAGACATGCCATGGGGCCCTACCTGTCCAAGGGACCCCAGGTTTTCACTTCTGGGCCCACCTGGCACCTATCCCAAGAGTTACTCCTGAGGCTGGCTCAAGTGAGAACAGATGGCAGAGACATGGGTGCTCCCTTCCCCCACCCTCCCAAGAAACCACTGCACTGGGAAGCAGGGCCACGGCCAGAGAAGCACTTGTGAGGGCCTGGGCCACAGCGAGAGGCAGGGGAAGAGTGTGGTCCTCAAGTAAAACTGGGCTCCCACAGCGCAGGGGGCCTGGAGCCAGCCTGGCAAAGGTCTGGGCACGGTGTGACAGCACCATGGGGGGCGGGCAGAGGTAGGCTCAGCTCAGGTTCTGGGTGAAGCAGCACCTGGGGCCTCAAGATGGTCTGGAAGGGCACAGAGGGGAAGGTCCAGGGGGATGGTTAACAAAACTGGCTCCCAGAGAAGAAAAGCTTTGGGTGCCCCTCATTTTGTTTTTCTTTCTTCTGGCAGCTAAAGGGTCCATTTGAGAACTATCTCTACTGAGCTTAGGAGGAAGTCCTAGGATGCCAAGGTGGGGTGGGTCACTCATACCACACATGACCTTGGAAGACGAGGCCCCTGCAGCCTCTGCTCACCCCTGATGAGTCCTTACTCAGGCCACCACGCCAGCACAGCCTCTCAGACCAGCAGACCTGTCTGCAGGTCTGGCCACAGAGTGCTTGGCTGCCCTGCCCCAGCCCCCCCACGGCCCAGTGGAATCAGCTGCTCAGGTTTCCAGTAATTTCATCGGGGCTGCATCACGTTGCTGGAGCTGAGATAGCATCTACCCACGGTAACCCTTCCCTGCAGAGCCCCCCGTGGCCCATCTGAGGAGGGACACGGGAGCGGCGAGCTTGGGGTATGCTGGTCCAGGGAGCAGGGCAGCTTGCCGGGATGCTGGCACAGGGATCAGGAAGACGCCACCTGCCACCAGGGACTGACAGAAAAGGAGAGGGGGTGGCAGCTGAGCCCAGATCGTGAAGAGGGCCCTAGCTCCTGCGCCTGTGCAGACTGGTCTCCCCACGCCACCCACTGGGCCCTTCCGATGAACTCTCAGCCCACAAGGGTACAAAAGCCACCCTTCCAAGACTAGGCGAAGTGACACCTGGAGGACCACAGGCCATCTAACGCGAGGCCAGTCCATACCGGGCGGCCGACAGCAGCCCAAGCGACTGCACAGTGCACCGAGGCCCTCCCTTGGGGTCTGCCCAGCAGCATGGCCCTAGGTGCCTTGGAGCTGGATGCTGCCCGCTGGGGCTGGGACGTGGATGGGGACGAGGACTGGGACAATGCCGTGCTGACCCTGCTGGCGCTGGCTGTGGTGGCTGCCACAGCGCTGGCCGTGCACTGGTTTGGCTCCGGGCAGGACCAGGAGGCAACAGAAACAGTGCCTGCAGCCCTTCAGGCCCAGCTTCCTCAGGCAGAAGGACATCCACTAGCCCTGTACCCGAAGACCAAGGTCAGTGGTGGCATCAAGAGACCAGGGCAGGGGAAGTCAGACCCTCCAGGATGCAACCAGGGAGGGCCTGTTGCTGTTGGGGCCCAGGGCCAGGAGCCCCCTGGTGGGGAAGGCCCCACCACCACAGCAGGGCCTGCACCCCAAATGCCTGGCAAGGTGGCCAGCAGTGCAGCCCTTGGACAGCAGTGTGACAATGGTGCCTCAGAACCCCCTGGAGGCCCAGGAAGGCAATCTCCTGGGCCAGGTACTGCCGCTTTGGGAAGAAGCAAAGCAGGGGTGATGTCCGGCCCCATCCTGATCCACTTCACACCTCGGGATCCTAGAGGAGAAGCAGAGGCAGGGGCAGTTCCCTCCAAGGAGCCAGTGCACCAGGCCCCCGGCCCCTGGCAGCCAACAGTGGGACCACCTCGTCCATGGGGGAGAGGTCGCAGCAGCCGGCGGCGGCAGGTGAACACCACCTCAGGAGACAGGCCCTGCCGCTCCCCCCGGCCAGACCCCCTGAGGCTGGGCACTGTGGTGAGTGTGTGGGACACTGTGGATGCTGCCGCTGTGGACACCCCTGCCTGCAGGCTGCTGGCAGGCTCCCAGCCACCCCCTTCATCTCAGGGACCTACTCCTCAGATGCTGCCCACGCCACACACCATGCAGGCTGGGCCCCTGGCTAATGGCTCAGAGAAAGGTCATAGGAAGAGCGGTTCCCAACCAGCCCCAGGCCTGGCGCTGGGCTCAGGGACCACGACAGGTGGTAGTGGGGAGACCCAGGGGGGCTCACGCAGTGCCCTTGAGGAGGGCTGGCCTTGGGCAAGGAGGGAGGTCCTGATGGCCAGAGGCTTTGGCTGGGCTCCAGGTCCTGTGGACCCATCACCGGAGGGGTCATGTGGGGGATGCTCACACACGGCCCAAGGGTGGGAGACTCCAGAGTGTGTGACCTCCAGGGGTGTGGCAAGCGGCTCTGGAGATGCCTACCCCTTCCTGGGCCCACAGCTGAGAAGTACAGAAAAGCAAGGGGGACACAGCCTTGGAGAAGGGAGAGGGTCCCAGCAGGTCCAGGGCGAGCAGGGCCATGTGCAGGCAGCTGGCAGCCAGGCTGCTGACCTGGGGCCTGGGCAGCCCCTGGGTGGAGGGGAACCAACCCCAGGTCTCTCAAGAGGTGCACTGAGTTACACCCCCTCCCTCAGTGTCTCGGTCACCCCCTTCGAAGGGGCTCCTTTTGAGCAACCGCCCTCTGCTGTCTCAGCCATAGCTCATCCCTATGGGGGTCACCCACGGGCAGCCCCTACTCTCCTAACCTCTCCTTCACAGGTAGCTTCCTATGGAGTTAGTCAGGGTTCCTCGGAAGATAAGCATCTCAGAGCAGCCTCCGCCCCAATGCCAACTTCAGCCCCAGCTCCAACCCCAACCCCAACTGCAGCTCCAGCTTCCACCCCAGCCCCAACCACAATTCCAGCCCGAACCCTAACCCCAGCCCCAAATCCAACCCGAACCCCAGCCCCAGCCCCAACCCCAACTCCAATTCCAACTCCAGCCCCAGTCCCAACTACAGCTGCAGCTTCCACCCCAGCCCCAACGGCAATTCCAGTCTCAATGCCAACCCCAGCCCCAGCCCCAGCCCCAGCCCCAACCCCAGCCCCAGCCCCAGCCCCGGCCAGTCCTGCAGGGAGTCTTGCCTCTCCGGAGCTAGGGATGACTCCCTCCACGGGCTGCCAGGAGAGGCAGGTCTCAAGCAGCTGGGGGAACCTCATCGCTATGGTTCTTAAAAGTCACCCCTTCCCCAGGCACGGGGGGGCCCAAGGGAGAGCGAAGGCAGTTCCTAAGGACCTGGCTGACTCCGTGAACAGCGCGTCCCGTCCACCCTCTGAAGGCACAGCCCCCAGCCTCGAGCCAGGGCGCGGGACTCCGATGGGGCAGGCAACATGGGCTGCCGCCGGGGGGCTGGCTGAGGACCCCCACCAGCCGCAACCCGAAGGCTCCCAGACCGACCGGTCTCCCATCGCAGGCCCAGCGCTGGGCCCGGGTGGAGCCGGAGTCGAGGGGCAAGGCGGGGGCCGGCCTCTGGCCCGCGCCGCCGAGCCCCGGCCAAGCCCCCGGCCCAGGAAGCGCAGCCTGTGCGAGGCGGCCACAAGCTCTGGGCCGGCGGCGGGCGGCGTGGCTGCCCCCGGGCAGCACCAGGCAGGGGCGCAGGGACAGGAGACCGGGCAGGCCGGCCGCGGGGACGCCCTCACCGAGCAGCAGAGGGAGGCCCGCAGGCTCCTGGTCTTTCTGCGGAGGCCCCGGGGCTGGGGCACCCGGTCCCCGGAGCTGCCGGCCACGGAGGCGGCGCTGCGGCGGCGGCTGGACCTGGGCAGCTGCCTGGAGGTGCTGGCTTTCGCCCAGCAGCACGGCGCGCGCGGCCTGGCCCAGGACACCTACGCTGTGATGAGTGACAATCTGCTGCACGTGCTTGGGGACCCGCACCTGTACCGGCAGCTGGGCGGCGCCGAGCGCGAGCGCATCGTGAGCCTGCGGACCAGCCGCGGCCCGGCCGTGCTGGGGGTCCTGCTGCTGCCCAGCCCCTACCTGGTGAGCCGCCGGGGGGTCCCCGGCGCCGCCAGAGGCCCCGAGGCGCCGCTGCCTGGCACACAGCTGCATGTGTTTAACCCCGGAGACAACACGTGGCGGCCCCTGACGCGGGTGCCCGCGGAGGTGCCTCTGCGGGGCTGCGGCCTGTGCACCATGCACAACTACCTGTTCCTGGCGGGGGGCATCCGCGGCTCGGGGGCCAAGGCCGTCTGCTCCAACGAAGTCTTTTGCTACAACCCCCTGACAGACATCTGGAGCCAGGTGCGGCCCATGCAGCAGGCCCGAGCCCAGCTCAAGCTGGTGGCCCTGGACGGGCTGCTCTACGCCATCGGGGGCGAGTGCCTCTACAGCATGGAACGCTACGACCCCCGTACGGACTCCTGGGCCTCCCGCGCGCCCCTCCCCGCAGGCACCTTCCCTGTGGCGCATGAGGCTGTGGCCTGCCGTGGGGACATCTACGTCACAGGGGGGCACCTCTTCTACCGCTTACTCAGGTACAGTCCCGCCAGGGATGCGTGGGACGAGTGCCCCTACAGTGCCAGCCACCGGCGCTCGAGCGACATGGTGGCGCTGGGCGGCTTCCTCTACCGCTTTGACCTCCTGCGGGGCGTGGGCGCTGCGGTGATGCGCTACAACACCGTGACGGGCTCCTGGAGCCGCGCCGCCTCTCTGCCACTGCCGGACCCTGTGCCCCTGCGCTGCACCGTGCTGGGCAGCACCATCTACTGCCTCAACCACCAGGTCACTGCCACCTTCACCGTCTCCGACGCCACTGCGCAGTTCGAGGCCAAGGAGCTGCGGCCCTGCCCGGTGGGGAGTAAAGGGGTCCTCTGCCCGTTCGTCCTGACCCTGCCCCCAGCAGACCAGCTGCAGACGGTGCTCTGAGCCCCTGCGGACGATGGGGACCTCAAGGGTGGGTCTGCGGCCATGGGCTGAAGGAAAGGGTGGGATCTGAACGTTCTGCTCCTGCGCTCATCTAATAAACCTCCTGGTTCAGAGGTCCCTGCTGGTTGCTGGAGTGAGGTTCCTGTTGGCACCCCTTCCTCCCTGTACTGGGAGCAGCGCAGCTTGCAGGGGACCTCCCCTCAGCCTCCTCTCCCCCTCCCCGCTGTCCCCTGCCCTTGTGAGGTTGTTGTCCTGCCAGGAACATAACCCAACAGCCGCGCACAGCTTGCTAAAATCTGTGGCCAGCTCAGAGGGCCTGCCTCAGGGCAGAATTTGCTGGGGTTGCTGCCAGGGCTCACCTCCACGACCCCAAGGGAGAGCACCGGCCTGACTATTCTGTTCCCAGGGCTCCAAGTAGCAAAGAGCCATGAGGGGACAAGGGAAGGGCGAGACTTGGACCAAGGTGTCCCAGGAAGCACCCTCCCTCTCTGGCTTTCTACCCTCCGAGCCCCGGAGACCAGCTTCCTGGTCTGAAAGGCACCATGGACCCTTGTCCTCTCTGCTTGGTCTCCCAGCCCTGTCCACAAACCAGAGGGCTCTCCCCTCAACACCTCAAAATGAGACCTTGTGATAAAGCATGTTCCAGTGTCATGGAGGCAGCTTTAGTCCCAGTTCCACACTTGTGAGCTGTGTGGCCATGGACACCTGACTTCTCTTTCTTCTCCCACAAGTCAGGGTCCCCATCTCTGCCATGGGGTCACACTCTCAGCAAGGTGACACACACTCCACGAAGCACCTTCTGCCCCACCTCTGCCTGGACAGTTGTGTCTACCTCTTACATGTCTGCCTTGCTCACTTGGTTTGCTATGCTTGAAAATAACTTTATTGAGAACAGTACTGGATGCAGAGTTGTGCACGCTGGTCGCTGGTCCTCTCTACCAGCGGGGCCCCTCTGGCCAGGTGGTGGGGCGGGTGGGCCCTACTGCTTCTGTTTCGTCTCGTTGAGCAGCTCCTGCCAGCTCCTCTCCATCTCCTCCTTGCAGTTGAGGAAGGCATCCTCCAGGCGCCGCATGGACTCGGCCAGCGTGGGGTTGGTGCGCATCACCACCATGTCGTAGGCCATCCAGGTCGCCTGCACTGTGACACCGAGGGGCCTGGTCAGGGCCGTGGGATAGTGGGCACCTGCCAGGCCCGCAAAGACCCCACGTTCCTTCCTCTTTAATGGCAGGACGTAAGACACCGAGGAGAGGGAGCTGGTTGGCTATATGTCAGAGGGCTCATGAAAACCCTACAAACATGGTTCCTTACATGGAGCAGTGGGGAAACTTCCTAATTCACACATGTTAATTTCTAATAGGCTGGAGGCCAGTCCAACACCAAATGTAGGAAAATTGGAGAAAAACACAGACCCTGACTAGCTGTCAGTTCACAACCAGCAGTTGCACAGAGTCCCAGGGGGTCAAATAGCCACTCAAACACATGCTCAGGCAGGTCTGACCCAGCTCAGCTAAGTTATAGGTAGGTCTGACCTTGCTCAGGTAGGTAAGACCCCACTCAGATAGGTCTGACCATGCTCAAGTCTGACCATGTTGAGTAGGTCTGACTATAGTCAGGCAGACTGACCATGATCAGGTAGGCTGACCATACTCAGGCAGGCTGAACACATTCAGGCAGGTCCAATCATGCTGAGATAAGTCTGACCATGTCGAGGTAGCTCTGACCATGCTCAGGTAGGTCTGACCATGCACCATGCTCAGGTAGACTGACCACGCTGAGGTAGGTCTGACCACGCTGAGGTAGGTCTGACCACGCTGAGGTAGCTAGGACTATGCTGAGGTAGATCTGACCACGCTCAGGTCGGTCTGATCATGCTCAGGTAGACTGACCATGTTCAGATAGGTCTGACCACATTGAGGTAGGTCTGACCACACCGAGGTAGGTTGGACCACGCTGAGGTAGGTCTGACCACGCTGAGGTAGGTCTGACTATGCTCAGGCTGGTTGGCCACACTCAGATAGACTCACCACTCACAGTCCTGCAAAGCTCCAAGCTTCCTGTAACTGCATGTTCAATGACTGCACTCCCACCCACCTCTACCTGGTCACCTCTGTGCTTTTGTTAAGGCCTAGTCCAGAGGTATCTTCCCTGTGGGAGGTTTTTGCTGTGGCCATCAGCTGTCCTTTGCCTGTCCCCACTGAAGGTACACACTGGCACTCACCAACATATTGGCTTATTTACTCACCTCCCTGTCCCTCCATGAGTTTCCTGAGGGCAGTGGCCCTGGGCCAGCCCAGGCTCTGACACAGCAAGTGTGTGCTTCCTGGAGTAGTAACATGGACATATGCAGAATCCCTCCTCCACCCATCTCTGCAGCTCCCACCCTGCTGGTCTAGCCCTGCCCTCTAGAATTACACTGAACAAGCTTACCTCCCTCCACAGGTCAGCCTCTCAGACTGGACACTTTAAAGAGCTGTGTCCTCAAGGAGCTTGACCAAAGAGTTAAGTTGAATGATCAGAAACGAATGCAAACATGTATCTAACACAATTTGGCCAGTGGACTCCAAGTTTTACAGAAAATAACTGATTAGTTAGGGAAAGATTTTTTAGAAAAAGTTTGTGTATCTCTCAGGGTTGCGGTCACAGCTACACAGCCAGTTCAGGGACCCTTCAGCTTCAGGAAGTGTGACAACCACTGGGCATCATTAAAACAGAGGACTGACCCCTCCCACTGAGGCTCTTGTTCAGGAGATCGCAATGGTGCCCCCGCCTGCATCTGCCCAGATCACCTGCAACCATCTGCCAGGCAAAGGCCTGTACCCGGTCGGAGTGGAGCATCTCTGGGTTCTCCACCTGCCAGGTGTGAGCCCTCAGAGTTACTTGGTTTCCTCATCTGTAAAACTGACCAGCATCATGGCTCACTGGGAGGAGTGCTTGGATCATGTATGCAAAGTGCCAAGCACACATCAAGTGCTCAAGAAAAGGAGAAGCTCTTACCAGAAATACACAAATAAGGAATTCAAGGCAGAGAGTCAGGTGGGTAAGAAACTAAAATTCAGGGGAAAAGCCACTCAGGAATGAGTGCCCCATAGTCCTACACAGCAGCTGGGATTCTAGCACGGAGCCTCCCGGGGCCAAAGCACAGCAGGAAACATGCTCACTTACCAGGCTCAGTGACCTCAAAAATAAACAAACCCACTGTTTAAAACACTAGAGAGGGAGAACAATGTGGAACAAAACTCAAAATCATTTGGAGGCAAAAAAAAAAAAGAAGGTGGGGACCAGGTTTGCTGGTCCAATAGAGCCTGGTGTAACCACTGAGACTATGGCCCCTAGCTGCCCTTCAGGTCTGGAATTGAACCCACAACTGTGGTTTCCAGCCAAACAAAGTACAGGCATGTGAGTTAAACATTTACCTCAAGTAGACACACGCCCTGGAGAGAACAATCATGGGAGAAGGAAGGGCTGCTTATGCACAGGGAGATAGCTCAGGGGTGCAGAAGAGTATGAAGGGATGGACACTGGGAGGAGGTAACTATGGGGAGGAAGTGGGAGGGGAGCTGCTGCATTGTAAATTTTGGTCAATGACATGAGACAAAGTATATGTGAACTGCTGTATGAAAAGTGAATTTACTCTGTAAATCTTCACCCAAATCCAAAAAAAAAAAAAAAAACCTCCAAGGGATCCTCCCCTGGGTTGTCTTCATGACAGACGTGCGATACAGACAGAGATGTCCTTGGTAACACCCTACTTCAAATGCAAGGTGAGACTTTAATGGCTGTAGTTTTAACTGTTGGCAAAAGACGTCTAACAGTAGCACCCAAGTATAGGTCAGGAAAGGCAATTCTATGAGGTACTGTTATGGACTGAATTGTGTTTCCAAAATATGTATTGGGATCCAAACCCCTGCACCTGTGGATATGGAATAGGGGTTCTGTTGTTATGTTAATGAGGGCATATCAGTGTGGGGTGTGTCCTAAGCCCAATCACCTCCAAGTTATAAGATCTGATTAGACACTAATTAGTTACAAATAGAGGAAAGATAGCTGGCTTGTGAAGAGTTCCAAGGAATCGAGGAATAGATGCCTAAAGAAACAGGGATCTTCCCCACAGCCAACAGAGAGCACACTTTCTCCTAGAGTCAGTGCCTTGAACTCAGATTTCTGGCCTTATAAACTGAGAAAATAAATTTCTGTTCTTCAAAACCACCCCCTTTCATATTTCTGTTACAGCAGCTCTAGCTAACTAGACAGACAAACATGAAGACACTACACCAAGTGATAGCCTTCATATGACTCGCTCCAAGAAAACATGTAGAATTCATAGGATTGGAGAGATTCATAGTGATGGGTCAGGGTCAGGGAAGCCGCCATCCACCTGTCACTCACTCAGTGTTTACTGAGCACCTGGGTGGCCCAGCAGAGTAAGAAGAGTCGCCCGTGCCCTTGGGAAGTTCTTGTGCCAGATGCAGTGGAGAAGGAATATGATAAGGAACATACAACTGCAGATATGGCAGGTCCTGTGAAGAAAAGTGTTGTGGTTATGTTGTGTGTCACCTTGGCTGGGCCTGGTTGAGTGGCTGGGCAGCTGGTGGTAGTTATTCCCCATGATGAGACTGGCAATCAGCTCCATGGTGGGATCTACCACAAGCAGCTGAGTAGCTGCCTTTGGGATGTGGTCTGCTTCCTGTATATAAGGAGAAGCCTTGGAATTGGTTTCTAGCCTATGGCACGCTTGGACCCTGCATGTAGCCGTGTCGTTGCTCAGCAGCCTGCTATGCTCTGCCGACTTTGGGACTTACAATGGACTTAAGTTAATGGCCTGCCATGTGGTTTGGTAACATTGGGACTGGTCCTTTTTATTTGTCAACCTTGGGCCTTCTCAGCCTCAGCAGCCAGCAGCTATCTGAGTGAAGAAACGCCTCCAGCTCCAGTCAGCTGGGAGCAGGAGGCAGAGCTGGACCCCAAGGTTGAGGGGCTTTCACCCAGCCTCTACCGCCTGG